ATATGCCTGCAGATAATCATAGGTGTTAGTTATTCCAAACCCTAAAACTCTATTAAAAACATCAACACATGTTTACTCTACCCCCCAAACTTGGGTGGGGGTATGCCGCTGGGACCTCAAAACCCTGACCCTGTTCCAGAGTGAAATCGCTGAAAACTATACCCTGTTCCAGAGTAAAATCGCTGAAAACGATATCCTGTTCCAGAGAAAATCCTGTACTAGCTTGCGTGACTTGCGTGTTGACTGAATTTTTACCCCGTGAATTTTTACCCTGGGAATCTACAATGTACCTATAAAATAGCATTTTAATATAAAACTAAAACTTAGACCTCATCATCCCAAGCAAGCAGAGAATGCCTGGACAATTTTACTTTTATTGACAAGAMATTTTACAAAGGTTTGCATTTTTACATGGAAAATATTCTTAGAATGCAGAAGATACAGAATATACCCTGGGTGCAGTATCTACATTCATAGGTGACTAAATTCAGACTTATAGATACATGTATTACTGAGAATTCCTCAACTTCAATTAGGACCAACTAACTGATAACAATGTCCACATAACATCAGATGTCACTCACCTCTGGTGGTGTTTGACTAAGAGCAATGGATGACACATCACTGATTGATGGTTGGCTTGTTTTACTGGTAGAGAGAAAACAAATTGAGAAACGCTGTCAACATTTTTCAATTAAATYAAGTGTTATACAAGCTACAAAATACATGAAAAGGTTACGTTAATAATTTACATTAATTTAGACATTACACAAGCATGAAGAGCACTGACTTATCTTTAGAGATAAAAGAAAACTTAGTTTGATAAAAACAAGAAAATATAGTTGAGATTAGGCCATATGCTACTGCTGGGATGAATTTACTTTTCTCAAGCTTTCATCAGTCGCCCACATCATCAGGAGAGTGAAGGAAATTTATATATATGTGAATATATAGAGTACACTACTTTGAAACAAGAAAAATAATTTCTATAAAATGCCAACATTTTGCACTCTGTGGGGACATGTGCATGAAAGAACAACCTA